CTCCTCGCCTTGGCTATCCGATCTTTCCATTTCGCCCAGATTTGACTAAATCGGGAATTTTCCATTCTTCTCGATCCTTCCTTTTCTTCCGCGGAAATCTTCTATTTCTCTTCAAACCTTCCTTTTATCTTTAAACTTGACTTTTATTTTCCTTCTGCGAGTAAACCGTCAAAACGTTATCAAATCTGCGGGTTAGATTTCGTTGAAATCGCGAGATGATTTTTTATCGCGTTTTAGGTCCTTAATGCCGTTTTGCGATAAAAACCGTTTTCCGACTTTTTACGGGATCGTTTCCTGATCTGACGTCGTTTTTAATAAATTTCTCGAGTTAATCGCAAAGTTTAACGATTTACTCGACTTTTTATTAAAAACACGTTTTTTCCGACTTACTCGACGTTTTTTATCAAAAGCGCGTTTTTTATGATTTCAACGAGAAATCTCGAATAAATCGTATAGTTTAGGCAATGTTCGGTGTTTCGCTTAAACGTTGCCGTTTTATACGATTTCCTCAAGTTCTTTCCGAGAAAACGAAGTTTTACGGTTTTTATCGTAAAACTCGAACGGTAAGTCGGATCGAGATGGAACGCGAGATATTTCGGCCGTGGTTTAGAACACGACCTTGTCGAAAGACGTAAGTTTCGAATCGGGAATGCGGGAAATCGAGATGCGGAGTGTCCGGGAAGTCTCTAGTTCGCCCATCGGCGAACTAGTCGAGCATGTCCTAGTTCGCCCATCGGCGAACTAGTTGATCACTTCCTAGTTCGCCCATCGGCGAACTAAGCCGGGCCGGCTTAGTTCACCGATGGGCGAACTAGAGAGTGCCTCTTAGTTCGCCGATGGGCGAACTAGAGAGTGCTTCTTAGTTCGCCCATCGGCGAACTAGTTGCGACTAGTTCGCGTTTTACGGCTTTTTCGGTTTTTTGCGGTTTCGTAAAAAGATTCTCGAGTTTTATAAAACGATCTTCGGATTTCATAAAACGACCTTTGAGTTTTATAAAACGATTCTTGAGTCTTATAAAACGATCTTCGAGTTTTATAAAACGATCTTCGAGTTTCATAAAACGATCTCTCGAGTTTTATAAAACGATCTTCGAGTTTTATAAAACGATTTCTTGAGTTTTATAAAACGATCTTCGAGTTTTATAAAACGATCTTCGAGTTTTATAAAACGATTTCTCGAGTTTTATAAAACGATCTTTGAATTTTATAAAACGATCTTCGAGTTTTATAAAAACGATTCTTGAGTTTTATAAAACGATTTCTCGAGTTTTATAAAACGATCTTCGAGTTTTATAAAACGATTTCTCGAGTTTTATAAAACAATTCTCGAGTTTTATAAAACGATTTCTCGAGTTTTATAAAACGATTCTCGAGTTTTATAAAACGATTTCTCGAGTTTTATAAAACGATTTCTCAAGTTTTATAAAACAATCTTCGAGTTTTATAAAACAGTCTACGAGTTCTATAAATGACTTTGAGTTTTATAAAACTAGTCCTCGGGTTTTATAAAACTGCTCTTTTTGTATTTTCGCGGGGAGTTTTGGCTATTAATTCCGTCGTACCGATTTTGACCCCAACACAAAGCATCATTAGTGAGAAAATTAAGGTCTTAAAAATTATAAAACATTAACAATTTTAGTATGTAATTATTTTTGGTACCACAAAATATTTAGACCAATAGGTTTTGAATAGGTGTAGTCCACTCTATTATTTCTCTTACTTTTCAATTATTTTTCATTTAATTATTACGGGAGGCTCCTTAAAAGTTTATCACGGCGGATGCTCTTATAGATTCGAAATTATTAGGAATAAAAAAATGAATTCATGTGACAAAAAAAAAAGTTGTACCTATAAAATTTGTGGTGAAACCTGGATTCACATATCATTAGTGGGAGACATGGAATCCACAAGAGTTTTTGGAGCAAAACTTGGATTTAAACTCTCTATTCGTTCTCAGGCGAATGTATTGTCGTCATGCAAACCCTTTCGTTTCCCGCCAACGTCATTTCCCGGCAAGCCTCCCAAGCTTGTTCCTTTGAAGGCCACTACTAACACTCTGGCTTGTGAAGATGAAAATAATCGCAAGTTCAAGAAGATGGAGCCTTCAGAGTGGGGTCATCAATTCATCGATGCTCATGTTGATGTCGCTGTAAGTCAATAAACAAAAGCGTGCCTGTTTTACCAAAAACAAAAGGGTGCCTATTTTAGTGAGCGAACAAAGAAACTCTTTACCATTATGGATTTTGATCCATTTCTCTTTCTTTTTCTTCTTGTTTCTCATTCTAGTTTATGTGCTTCATCTTATTCTTCTACACTTTGGTTTATCATTAGTTGGTTACCATAGCAAACAAAACAACTGAAATCATTTGACCAAAAAAAACAGAAATAATAATCCTACAAAAGTTCATACGTAGTATAATTTTTTCGTCCCCTCGATCTAGCTAGGCGCCGTGTATACGAAATCATTAAATTCATAGAGGATATGAAATCATGTCTAATTTATGTATTGTTAAGGAAATGGATTCGCTTGGTAGAGAAATTGAAGCACTAAAGCCAAAAGTGGGGGACATGTTCTTGTCTTCCAGTGACCTTGATTCAACCAAGAAGAATATCCTTTTCATCTATTTGCTCATGAGCCTTGGTGTCGCATATCATTTCGAAGCTGAGATAGAGGAGAATCTTAAAGAGGGACTTAAAAGGATTGAAGAGATGTTGTCTGGTGAAGATGATTTGTACATAGTTTCCATCATCTTTTGGGTTTTCAGATCATATGGTCACAACCTTTCTCCCGGTAAAGATTTTCTATCTAGAGCATACGACAAGTGTTTTGTCATTGTGTGATTAATCTTTTTAACTAGCTAGGTGATTCCGAAGACATCCCACATTTAAAAGAAATAATCATATCCATTAGGTTTTATAGGTCTAATAAACCTACCGATTCATTTTGGTGTATATAATAGATGTTTTTAAGAGATTCAAAGGGGAAAATGGAAACTTCAAAGAATGTCTTGCGGAGGATACGAAGGGTATCTTAAGCTTGTATGAAGCTGCTCAGATGGGAACAATGACAGAATATATATTGGACGAAGCCTTGAGCTTTGTATTGAGTTACTTAGAGCCGCTAGTTGCAAGTTGGACATGCCAACCTCATCTCTCCAGGCGTATACAAAAAGCTCTGGGACAACCGCAACATAGGAACATGGAGATATTAGTTGCAATGGAATATATCCGGTTCTACGAACAAGAAGAAGNCAGATGGGAACAATGACAGAATATATATTGGACGAAGCCTTGAGCTTTGTATTGAGTTACTTAGAGCCGCTAGTTGCAAGTTGGACATGCCAACCTCATCTCTCCAGGCGTATACAAAAAGCTCTGGGACAACCGCAACATAGGAACATGGAGATATTAGTTGCAATGGAATATATCCGGTTCTACGAACAAGAAGAAGGCTATGACAAGACGCTACTAATGTTTGCCAAGCTTAACTTCAAATACCTTCAGCTACATTACCTTCAAGAACTGAAAGGCCTCTCAAAGTAAGTAAAATCTGCTCTAGAGCTTCTTTATACAACCCTTGAAAGAAGTTGATTTTCATCATTGTATTTTCATGTTCTGTGGATGCCAGATGGTACAAGGAGAAAGACTTCGAATCTAACTTACCACCTTACTACAGAGACAGATTTGTGGAAATGCACGTCGTTGCGCTAGCATACTTAGAGCCAAATCACTCACGTTTGAGGATTATGCTAACTAAGATGTTCGTACTTCAAATAATTCTTGATGACACATGTGACAGATATGCTTCTCTTCGTGAAGTTGAAAGCCTCGCTAATGCAATCGAAAGGTACATATTATATAATATATAATATATACGTAATATATTATAAAGTTGTTTGAGTCCACTTTTATCGTCTACACTAGTATAAGTTTTGATACTAAAAAATCCCATATATATTAATTGAGAAACATTTGAAAAGATGTAACCTCAAGTTTGTATTAATTAAAAAGTAACTTTGCTTAGTTGTCAATCAATTAGCATACCAATTAAACTGACGTGGCAGCTTTAGGTTCAATTGAAATTTGCTAGGGAAAAATAATTAGAGACGCATATAACGTATGTAACATAGTTTATATATTTATATATATCGCACGCATGTAATGGAAGAAAAGGAAAATATACGATCTGATAACGATTTGCATATATTAACTATAATAACTTCATTCCTTTTAATTTATGGAAGTGTATATGTAAAATGGAAATTACTTTGTGACCAAGTACATACTTAATGGTAAAGGCAAGTGTATATGTAAAATGTAAAACTTAATATGTTAACTTGGGAATTTATGTTAAAATTGATATATGCAAATCGTAAATATCCCTTA